GCTAGGCACTGAGGGGCAGACAAGCCAAGCACCAGGCAGGCAGCTTTCTCTAGCAGCAGCCACAAACCTTTACAGCATCGACAGCTCCACGTGGGACAAGAGAACTCACACAGCCAGGCTGGAAGCGGGGCACAGAGGGCTAATGTCAATACCAGCATCCCTGGCCATCCCTCCTGGGAAGTTGGGGCACCTGTCCACCCGCCTGCTGACTGGCGTCCCCTCCATCCTCTCTCCTGCCTGCTTCCTCCTGCCCTCCCTCCACTCCACGCCACACCATTCCTTCCCCTGCCCCACCGTTGTGACAGTGAGAAAACTCTCATTATCCGAAAGTTAAGTTGGCTGCTCAGTCTAACACTGCAGGAAGACACCAGCAGATGGTGGGGCCTCTCCAGGATCAGCCTCAAAGGTCACCGTCTGTCACTGCCCACCCGCTCCAGCCTCTTCCGCATCGAGGAGTCCCTCATGCTGACTTCAGGCCCAGCTACAAGCTGTGCAATGACATTTCCCGTGGGCTGACTGTGTGCCAGACACGGTGCTAGGCCTTTTGTGAACATTAACTCTTAATTCCCACACCTGGTCTATGAGATAATTACCATCCCCATTTTACAAATGAGGAAACTGAGGCACAAATAGGCTAAACAATTTGCCAAGGTGGCAAAGGCTGTCTGGCTCCAACATCCAAATTCTTTTTTTTTTTAAGATTTTATTGTGGAATTGGGGAGGGGAACAGTGTTGGGGAATTGGGGAAAGGGAACATTGTGTTTTCCCAGGACCCATCAGTTCCAAGTAAAGTTGTCCTTCAGTCTTAGTTGTGGTGGGTGCAAGCTCAGCTCCAAGTCCAGTTGCCACTTTCAATCGAACCAGCAACCTTGCTGCTAAGAGCATGCACTCTCACCAGCTCAGCAGCAGCTCAGCTCAGGCATAGCTCACTGGTCCATGTGGGAATCGAACCAGCGACCCTGTTGCTCAGAGCTCATGCTCTAACCAACCATCCAAATTCTCAACCACCACACTACAAATCTCCCCTTTTTTGAGCCTCAGTTTTTTTTCTCCACTGCAAAATGAATGAGGGACTCAATGAAATGATTTCTGGATCCTTCTGTGCTTTTATAGGCCCAGGACCTAAAAAATGCTTCCTGGAGCAGCCAGTTAGTTCAGTTGGTTAGAGCACAGTGCTCATAACACCAAGGTTGCTGATTCGATCTCCAGATGGGCCACTGAGTTGCGCCCTCCACAACTAGATTGAAACAACTTCTTGGATATGGTGGATATGGTGGACTTGGAGCTGATGGGTCCTGGAAAAACACACTGTTTCCCAATAAATTTTTATTTTAAAGTGCCTCCTTGGGTTGGCCAAGTGGCTCAATTGGTTAAGAGCGTGAGCTCTGAGCAACAGCGTCACCAGTTCAATTCCCACATGGGCCAGTGAGCTGCACCTGAGATGAGCTGCCGCTGAGCTGCCAACAGGTGGCAGGATGGCTCAGCTGGTGAGAGCGCGTGCTCCTAACAACAAGGTTTCCGGTTCGACTCCCACTTGGGATGGTGGGCTACGCCCACCCACAACTAAGACTGAACACAGCACCTTGAGCTAAGCGGCCACGAGCTGCTGGCAGGCGGCTGGATGGCATCTGGACTTGGAGCAGAGCTAGCTGCGCCCTCCACAACTAAGATTGAAGAACAACAACTTGGCTGTTCCCCTTCCCCGATTCCCCAACACTGTTCCCCTTCCCCAATTCCCCAATAAAATCTTTTTTTTAAAAAAAGTGCTTCCTTCCAGGGCACTTAGCATGTTCTTTCTCCCACCCCCCCACCCCCCCCAACAATGGCTGCTCCCAGGATAAGATCTTATGAGCTCATTCACACTGTCATGTAAATGACTGATATAGTGAGCGGATATGGTGGATATGGTGAGGTAACTCTGGCAGAGCAGATTCAAACCCAGGTCTGACTGACTCCAGGACCTGGGCTGTCCCCACAACATAGCATTGTACAGGCCACATCCTCTGGCTTTAAGATCTCCAAAAGGTATTCTTTACATCCATCAATATTCCCTGTCTTAGAAGAATGGAGCCAAAATGAGGATGAAGGAGGGGGCTGGGAACAGGGAAGTAAGGAAGATAAGCTGTCAGGTCCATGACTTCCCAAAGTCAGGGCCTCTGATTCCCAGTGAGGGCCTGGGTTCGAGTCCTACTTCCAGCCCAGTTTATTTCAGCAGGCAGTCTGGAAGGGGTCAGGTCTGGGAGCTGGGGGCCTGACTTCCCACCTTGCTCTGTCACTTAATCAGGGCTCGGTTTCCACACCTATAGGATGGGGAGTTGGCCTCTCCCAACTCACATCTGCCCTGACTGCACCCCATTAGCATTCTCTAGGCAGGAAATCACCCTCAGGCTTCCAAACCCAGAGCTCCTCTCAGCCGTGCACAGGAAATCCACCTCTTGGAAGGAGAGCTATAATCACAGCCTCCGGTGGAAGTTCCTAGCAGGCCCTTTTTCTAATGGCTTTGGCGGGTGCAGGAGCAGGGCTGGGGCCACTGTGGTGCCCTTTGAAATGGACACCTGACATGGCAGCTCCCCCGGGTCCCCCAAGGTGCCCCTCCTTCATCTTCTCCTGCCTGAGGCTCCTGCTCCTGACCTCCCTCCCCAGAGTTCAACCTTTTTGCCTCTGTAAATGGCTTTTAAGTTTCTCACCCAGCCTCTCATTTCTATCAGTTTAATTATTGAGGAGCCCTCTTGTCGCCAGCCTGGAACATTAATGCTGTTAAAAGGGACCCAGAAAATGCAGACCAAAGCTGTCAATCTCCCTCTGACTCTCTCCTCATCCCCCCTCTTCCCCCCTCCCTGTCCTTTCCCAACATGCCCCCTCTGTCCTCCATTCCTTCTCTCCCTCCAAGCCTTCACCTCATAGTCCCATCCAGTTTGTGCTGCCTGGGCGACTGCTGACCACCTCCCCCCACTCATCTCTCTGTAATCTGAGGAGGCGGAGACAAACTGAGGCTATCGCCACAATCATATGTGACCAGATAGGCAGAGGAAAATGAAAACCCGTGAGCCCCTAGGCTGGTGAGCCACTTTGGCCCCTGGCTCCTTCACCCGACCCGAGACTTTCCCCATCCTGGGAGCAGTTAGCACAGAAGTCAGAGCCCACTCCATGTGGGACATTAGGCACCTCATCCCAAAACATCCATGTTTCCAAGAACACACTTTAAGGCCTAACACTGACAGTGACCTTTCTTAGAGCCATTGCCAAATATCAGGTGACACCCCTCAGCTCCCTATAAAGTGGGCACTGGCTCTCCTCTGGGAGATGGGTGGAAGGGACCTTCATCAATGTCATAGCCCAAGGGCCCAAACAGGCTGTTTTACCATCTTTCTAAACAATCAGTCACAGATGGAGTTTAATGAAAAGCTCAGATAAGGAAGCTATAGCAGCCCCACCCTGCTCTGACCTTCTCAGAGGCTTGAGATCTGTGCCCACCCAGGTAGGCCCAGACCAGCCCATGGCAGAATCCCCCACAGTGTCAGGACAACTCAAGCCTCCTTTCTTTCCCACCCGCCCCCATCCCCAACACAGGGACCTTCTGCACCATTCACTCCCACTTCTACCCCAGCTCCCACAAACACTGCCAAGTTCTGATGCATGATGGGATTGGGCAAATGGGTTCCAGAAAAGGTCCAGGTGAGAGGGCTCTAGCCTCAGCACTCCCCACCATGCATGGGACCAAACAACCTTTCTCAGTCCACTTCCTAACTCTGGAGGCTGAGGAGAGAAGAGGCCAAATCCAGTGGCAAGAATCAGACACCAGGGTGAAGGACGAACCCAGAAGCTTTCTCTGTGCATCCCTCCCTCCTCACCCTATTCTCTCTTCCTCTCTCTCTCTCTCTCTCTCTCTCTCTCTCTCTCTCTCT